CCACCCTAAGTTGAGGGTGTTGAGCTTTTGACAGCATATAATAGTAGGGCCCTCTATCAATCCAATGTCCAAGTCGCGGCGCAAAATGCCGCTTCGGAAGCGAGAAAATCGCTTCGGAATAGCGAAGATGCACGAGCACCCCCATCCATGCCCGCCCATTTATGCGCGCCCATCCAATCACCGTTCTGGAAAGCCGGCCTATGGGTTCTTCGGAACGGGGACTGTCGGGGTTTCCGAGCATTCTCTACTTCATATTCGGAACCAGGGACATGAGAAGGCCCTGAAACGCAAAAACGTGGAAGTCGAAATCTGGGTGGACGGTGCCTTTGAAGCATGCGAAGGTAAAACTTGAAATTTCCCGAGGGGTCAACCCAGTTCAGATGTGCTGACTGGGAATTTACTGCAAGGCCTAAATTAGTAAATGTGGGATGAGGCTCACTTTTGTAATGTAGGCATTTGACTTTCGGCTTTTATAATTCACTACGAGTTGAGACAAAGCTAAGACATCCCAGAACAATTCCACGTGCATTTAGAAAAGTTTTTGCATTTCTATACCGTAGGCAGCGTAACCAAGAGCTACTTTTTTACAAACAGCAAAAAGGCAAAAAAGAAATCCTCTTTTTTCAGGAGTTTTGTGAACATGTCTGCACAAACACTTCAATGATTTTGCTAAACTCTCTGTGTTGCTCCTGTTTTGAGTGATGGAAGCAGTCACTATAAAGTGTAAGACTGTGACTCCATTTACCTGGATGCAATGAGAGACTTTACCTGCTTTCGAAGCCGTGCGTCAACTCATAAAGAAATTTGAATGCTGTGTTTGTTATTGTTGTGTTACTGTTTCAATAATGTGTGTATCAAATATCCTTTCTATGTCTTCCACTCTGTTTTTCGAGCGAGGTGTGGACACGACCGCCGGATACAGACCACCCTCTCCCCATCGTGAGTGTTCTTAGGGCCGCATGCACTAACCTCCTCGCTGGGGAGGGGATCGCAGCTTGAAAGAAAGCTTTATATTATAGCAGATACCTGGATTTCACACTGTGTACCTATCCGTAAGTATTCCTACTACCCTTCACTATGAACATATTGAACAGGAGCGAGAATTTGTACGAACCGCATTTTCCAGCTTTTGTATGATCCCTGATGATCCCCGGCGCTTTTCAGTTCATTTTTCTTTCTCCGAATTTAACGAAAACCTTCCAAAGTTAGACTGAACATCTAACACAACAGTGCTAAGCATGTTGCTGATGAGAACAAATGAATTTTCGAAAAATCGAATTTTTCGGTATACCCCAAATTTCGACCTGTGAATCATCGAAAATTTCATGACTTCAAAACATCATTTGTTCTTGTCAGCAACATGCTTAGCACTGTCGGGTTAGATAATCTGCACAACTTTGGAAGTATTTCGTTAACTTTGGAGAAAGAAAAATGACTTCAAAGAAAGGCGCCGGGGATCATCAGGGATCATACTAAAGCTAAAAAATGCGGTCCGTACAGCTTCTCGCTCCTCTTCAGTATGTCCATAGTTAAGGGTAGTAGGAATACTTACGGATAGGTACACAATGTGAAATCCAGGTATCTGGAGTTTCGAAATATAAAGCCTTCTTTTAAGCTGCGATGCTCTCCCCGCGGAGATGTTAGTGCATGCGGCCCTTAATAAATTCTCTCCCCTTCCCTCCCCCCCCCCTCCTCCCCCAGCATATCGTCTTTCTAATATAGGCATTGCATGAGCTAACAAGCATAATGAGCGTATTCGTAATCAGCATGTCAAATAGACCCTGTGGACCAAGTTTCAGCGAATTTCGAAGTTCGCAGTATAGGACCACTAAGTAAAACGAACTTTTTGAAACATGATCGACTTTGTTTCAAAAGTGGGTTGACTACTTCTTTACCCTATACAAAGCATTTCTCTGTCAACATGAGAAATCCCACTTTGAACAGCCGCCAGTGGAATAAGAATCCAATTCAAATCTTCTTTCTCCCATATTTCGCTCCTAAAGGTTGTGCTCCAGCAACTGTTAATCAGATTTAAGAAGAAAATCAAGCTTTAATTACTTCTTCGTGAATTCGATATAGGCTATCATAATGTGCGCATATTATTCGCTAAAAGTTCCTTTGGGGTAAGTTATTGGTGTGTTGGCATAACTCCAAGAAAGGTGTGGCTGCGAGTGTTTCTTGGGGGTATGCACACCCGGATCATTTCTGTCACTCTTTTTTGAAAACATTGAAAAATCCGGAGTCTTTCTAGAACCTCAAATTTGCTCCATATGTAGGACACGACAAAGCGTACATGACCGCATGACTGACGACGCAAATGCACAATGGCTAGCAAGTTCACGATAACCTTGAAAGCACACTCAAAATCGTCATTTCTTTTCTTGATTTTTCTTTGCGTTTATTTGTGTTTTTCCTCTCCTTTATTTTTTTGGAACATATTTTCACATCCTTTTTTTATGGCAGCACTGTGGTGCCCTAGCACGTCAAAAACAAAAATTGAAAAGCAAGTAAAAAATCGGAAAGTGATCGAAAATATTTCTTTTCAGTTTGAAAAAATGTTCTTCATGTTAAAATGCGAGTGTGCGCTGACTTGGCACACCATTTCACTCATTGTCAGTTGAACGCATGCGGACATGATTGTGCCATCTCCTTATACTCGCTAAAAACTATGGATCATACCCTGCCTGATTACCACATTGCTCGGTCTCTCCCTAATCACCTACTCAGACAGTCGAAGGGATACCTCCGGCGGGCATATGGCGCGAGTCTGCCACTTCGCGCTCCGGAGCCCTGCCATTTCACGCATTTTGTGCTCCGGGGATCTCCCAAAGGTGGCGCATTTCCGGAGCAGAGATTTGCGCGTCGCGGAGAGGGGTCCCATTCATTCACTGTGACGTTACGGTGACGTCACAAACAGGACGAATGCGACCCCTCTCCGCGACGCTCAAATCTCTGCTCCGGAGGTGCGCCACTTTTGGGAGAGCCCCGAAGCACGAAAATGCGTGAAATGGCAGGGCTCCAGAGCGGAAGCGAAGTGGCAATCCCCGCTGGGGAAACCCCGCGGCTCTGCCATTTCTGCTCCGGAGGTATGCCGTCGACTGTCTGAGTAAGAGAATGCCAGCCCGTTAAGAAGATGTCCATAAATCGTAGTCTTAGAGAGTTTTGCGCATGAACCGCGGATCTAACAGTACTGATGGGCAGACCTTTGCACCCCATCAACACTCGTCAAACATAAGAATTTTCGAAAGTTTCTTTAATTTTCAAAAAATAAAAATAAAAACGTAACAGAAATTATCCGATAATCAATATATAGTTCAAACCACCAAGTGTGCTTATATTATGGTAGAGACTTCATTTAAGATTTCTACCTCTAAAAGAAGGTCGTTGGCAGGAAGCAAAAATATATAAGTTTGATAGGTTAGGTCTCTTCGCTTTTACTGCAGTAACTTGATCCTAATCCGTCGTCTTTATTCTCAGTAATAGTCGTTGAAAACAAAGCGAAAATGGGACAAACGAGAATTTGTTCGGTTCCTTGTTCCATAGTTTAGGGTTTATCTGATTTTTTTATGGAGAAGGAAGGAGTATTGCTTGTATTGAGCGCAAAAAAGGTGGCTGACTTCAAAACAAAGTTAATTGTATTCAAAAATGACCGTTTCACTTGAGCGAAACAATTTTCGAAATCAGGGTTCTCCTCTTGATGAACAGGAGCTATCTTACATGGCATTATTTATGCATGATGGGGCTTCTTCGCTATGCTTACTGCAAGTAGACGATGATAGGTCACTACCTTAATATGCTATTGTTTTTGATACACGCGATGGGCTCCGTAATGAGCGCTGACATCGCTAACAAGTATCATGTTAGTGCTGAAATCACTATCATTCCGGCTACGATCCGCTTCCTTCTCTGCCCCTTAGGCTGGGTTCATACTGATTCCCATGTTCTGGAACTGTTCTCGCATAGTTCTCACACTGTGCTGGAACTGTGCGGAAACAGTTCCGGAACTGTGCTGCATGCGCTGCAGCCGCCCCGCACACGTTTTGAACGGCTGAGTTGAAAAATTTCAACGGTTTTTCTTCCAAATTTTCTCATTTTAGCCTTATTTTTCTCCCCCGCTTCCCTTTTTGATCAGCGAAACCTCGAACTTGAAGCGGGGTTGAGTATTGAACGCTGTTCTGCTCCATGTATCCGGGAAGATGGGCCTTCGCGCGCCCGTCCATCCTCTCATCGCTATTTTTGTTCAGAGCAACTTTATGAGTTTTAGAAATTTATCCATGTCAATTTCAATACAGATGCGGGACTACGCAGCGACTTGCTAGAACACATGAAGTAGTTTTGAGCAAAAATCACGAAGACAGAATGGACAATCGCACGACCGTCCATCTTTCCGAATACATGGAGCAGAAAAGCGCTCATTCTTCAATCCCGCTTCGAGTTCGAAGTTCTGCTGATCAAAAAGGGACGCGGGGTGTAGGAATAAAACCAAAATTAGAGAAATCTGGAAGAAAAACCGTTCAACAAGGTCAAAATTCTCCAGCTTTCGCCGTTCAAAATGGTGCGGGGCGGCTGCAGCGCATGCAGCACAGTTCTGGAACTGTTCCCGCACAGTGCGAGAACTGTGCGGGAACAGTTCCGGAACATGGGAATCAGTATGAACCCAGCCTTACGACCGCCAGGTGTGACGTGCCATCCCTACCTTGACCATGCTAATATCTATTGTACACATTACAGTGCAGAAGGACTCTTTGACTTGTGTCTTATTGTTAGTCCCGATTGTGATCGTACATATCTGCTTGTCTCTGTTCCACTTTACTACGTGGACAAGCAATGTAGACTTCAAAAAGATGTATAAACTCTACATAAAATTGGTAATAATAAACATATACTGTGAAGTAAGCACTGATTGAAGAACAAAATTTATTTCTGTCATCTTAACTTCGCGTACATTCGAAAAATTTGATCCGCTTTGCGGAATTATAAATGTTACTTTTCAGCACAGCATGCTTTATAAGCTCTTTCTTATTCTGGTTTTGCTGCAAGTTGTTGCTGTATTAAAATCCGACAGAACGAAAGTTAGCGCTGCGCCGGAAAGTTCCAAAGCTATAGCTGCTCGTGGAATGAAATATGCTAGGACCAACGAAACTGTTTCCGCTGTGACTCTCAAAGCCAGTAAAGCTGGTGCTGCGATGAAACAGCCTAACGCCAAGAGAGGTGATTTTACTGTCAAAACCAAGGCCGATGGGAATTATGCTGTTCCGGAATCTCGCAAGACCCAGGGATCTCGCCGCGTTTCAAAACAAGCATTAGCTGAGGTAGGTAGAGATAACACAAAAGACAAGTGCGTCTCATTTTCCAAATGAATTTGTGCTTTGGCTCTAACCTTCAATACTTTCAGTGCTGTAAACAGTGCCATCAAAAGTGCAATGAAGAAACCAGGAATACGATGAATTCAACTTGGTACCGATGCTACGATCCCTGCACACGGAATTGCAGAAGCGCCCATGGTGGCGTTCTTCATTTTTCATCGAATTTATGTTAAAGTTATTTGAACTTCCTATTTGCTGGGTACAGTCTCGTTATTCTCAGGTCGAGAGGGCATTCAGTGAGCATTATGAGTACCTAAAAGGTAATTTGCGCAATCAATCCTCAAATTTGGCTTTTGAATAAGTTTTATGGGAAAGTCACATTTTGTTTGAGATGTGATTGAACGTCGGCCTCGTCTTGGACACCAAAGCGATGGAACGGTTGAGAGCATTATGTTGAGGCGCAACAAAACAGTCGCGCACACTGCTGCGAACACTTGCAACGATTTTCGGATTTACTTCAATCGAAATAGATCCAGCAATGTTGAAGACAACATAAGGCCAATCAAAAATCTTGAAAAATTTGACGTCCATAGTCTTTCGCGACAACCGCTCAAAGGCATTGTCCAGCTCAATCGGGGGGGGGGGGGAGGGGGGGGGGGCTTCTGACGCAGTGCGGAACCTCGGCTCTTGCCTGATGCAACAGTTCAAGCCCGATCGAAAACAGTGGATTCTGAAGCGAGAAATTCGCTTCGGAAAAAAGGGGCGGTACTCCAATCCCGCCCCTTTGACAAGTTTTGACGTGGCAATGCTCTAGGACTGCTGAAGTAACCACGTCAAAACTTGTCAAGGAAGCGGGATTGAAGTACCACCCCTTTTTCCGATTTTCACGCCTTAAAGGCAGCGTCCAGGCAAGATCCATCCACCCAGATTGGCACATAGTTGTAAAGAGGGGCCCATGAGTATTCGATCTGCGTTGGTCCAATCCTTTGATGTGCCCTCTAAAAGGAGATACGGGCCTGTGATACGTATCACAAGCCGCCCCTTCGTATCACAAACCACCCTTGAGGACGAATGCTTACGCAAATGTGCGGTTGCATTGCAGTTGCACTGCACACTGCAATGCAACTGCATCCGTACAGTTGCAACTCCTCCAGCTGGCATGACGATGGGGACGAGCAATTCCAAACTCGTTCGCTCCTTGAAGAGAGGGACGAAAAAGAACCGGGTTTTTTGGAAGTTTTGAACAATTTGGACTTTACAGCTGTAATCAGGGCCACGGAAAGGCCCCAGATTGGCAGAAACATGAGAGGCGAAATTTTGCCCGGAACGCTGCCTTTAAGATCCACTTATTTTCAATCGGACTTGAACTTTTGCATTAGTCAGGAGCCGTGCTCCCACACTGCGTCAAACTCCCACCATCCATCAGTTGACTTGGACAATGCCTTTGAGCATTTTGGTGCTGATGGCACTTTGATGGTTCGATTTAAACAGCAAAAGAATTAACTTTTCTAGCTTCTTACGTTTACTGAGTGATAGCAGACCAATTTCTGGCTATTCTCCTACCTATGCTTCCAATCAAATTTGCTTCCATGCTGATCACAACGCGAGACTATCAATGAGCTTTCGTTGCTTGCTTTAATTTGCGACTTTATCAGCTTAAGCCAGTTCTTTTGCTACCATTCTGATTAACTTTTCCGTCGACCTCATTACAGCCAGGAAATTAGCTGCTTTTCCGCAGTGCTGTAGATAACATATAAAGCTTCGAAGATTACATTTTTGCACAACACTATGGGGTTGTTTCATACTCCCGCATTGACAGCACTGACTGCGCCGGCCGTTGCATAATCCCATAATAGAAAAAACAACCGCGATCATGTCAAAACACCTCGTAGGATTCGATATGTTCATACTTATTCTGAGTTTTGCTATTACTGCGTATACCTGTTTTGTACTATTCTCACCTGTGCTGTTTTGTAGTTTAATAAATAATAAGGATAAAGGATTCGGCGTCTTCAATACCCTCTGAGGGCATGCGCCGAACGCACACACTAACTTCATAGTCGAAGAGGCAATTGTATGCGTGCGAGCCTATTACAGTGACTTGCGGGGGCCAGCCGTTTCCAAGTCAGTGCTTTTATCCTCCCAGATTACTCTGGTACCAATTCACCGGCCCCGGAGGGTAGAGGGCTTGGTTGGCCCAGGGGCGGGGATCGAACCTGTGTCCGATCTGGTCATAGCGTTTTGTAGTTTGGGGCATATATTTTTGTTGTTTTTGAACTATAGCTAATTGTCTTCCAAACCTCATATCCTTAACATGGATTGCAAGATTGTGACCGACTTATATAAAGAGCAGAGCAGTTTGCGATCGATCTTGCAATCCATGTCAAATCCTAAAGATGTAGAAGATAAATAGCGCAAGCTTATAAAGCACAACACTATACGCCTAAAAAAATACGAGCGAGAACTATACGCAATAATATGAGAAACCAGGACGAATATGAATTTAAGAAAAACAAAGGCCAAAATTTGATTGAAAAAGCAAAATCAGACCTTATTATCCACTTAATCGTAATTCACGGTGTTTTCATGTAGCCGTAGTTGCTTTTTTCATAAGAGGATGCAGTGGTCAGTATGGTTAGTTGCGGTAAGCTGCATTCAGCTGCAGTCAGCTGCGGTCAATGCAGCAGTATGAAACAACCAAGCTTTGGCGGCACATTACCCAGGGCCCCGCACGCGTAGGTTTGGAGCATTTTCGGAAATGAAGTCACCTATAAATTCGCGAAAATTTACTAAGTCCTCTTTGATGTAAAAGTCAGTGGAGAAACCCTTGCATCAACATAACAAAACATAACGATAAAAAAGCGAAAAAAACGAGTTTTGAGGTACCCAATATAACAAAAAAACAAAGAAACATTTTGTGTCGATTCAATTCCTGAGTATGGTACCATTTCAGTATTCAGAACGTTGAACCTTTTAGGCCAATCAATTTGTAACCTCAACAATCTGGCATGCATTTTTCGCCACATAGTTCAAAGGACACCGCATGTGATTAGGCGATATCTATCAGTGCTTTGATTTACACTATTTTTGGCTCAAAAAATAGGAGAAGCAGTGGTTTCATTCGCTTTCTTCGCTATATGATAGATTTTGAAGCGTTCTCTTCGTCCAAATCAAAAATGTCCCTTATGTGAACTCTCCGATATTTATGCTCCGAACCAACCCAGTTGGTTTGGTGTTGGTCTAGAAACCAACAAATTTGGGAACGGGTATTAGAACACATAAGTCTTTAAAACTTTTTACATAATGTTGTCTGGAGTAATATTGTATATATAACCCAAATTCGGCGTCATGTGATTGTTTGTGCGCTGTAAACATACTATCTATTTGTTAGGAACTTACGTTTGAAGTTCGCGCGCTCGCCAAAAGACACGTTCAACTCGTAAAACCTGACATGTATGTCGTTTTATTTTTTGGCCTTTCGCCCAGGACCTTATAAAAATGATGTCCCCGTTGCCTGTAAGGCTGCGTTCATACTGATCTGAAAATCTAAGAACAGTCCCAGCACAACGCTCGAATCAAGCGCTGTACTGGAACTGTTCTCAGAATCAGTACGAACGCAGCCTAATCTCAAAAACGAAGTTCGGTTTGACCCCGAACCATCTGTGCTGGGACCTGACATTACCGTGTTATCGTCGACCGCGAGATAAGGCGAGTGGTTTGACCGCCTCATGCTATAGCTTGAGAGTATCGTTAGTTTATGGAGTTCTCTTAGGCTTGATACATACCCAGGCGTCGGGTGTTTATAAGTAGCGGTGGCAGCAACGCAATTCATGCGTATTGATTGCAGCGGAGTGACACTGCTGCCTCCTGCTGCAGCAGTTGACGCGAAAAGCCGTGTCTATACGTAGCAAGTCATTCTTAACTCATTGACGACGACGTCTAATTTTGCGTTGCGAGTGGGACGACGCGATTTTGCACAAACTTTCGGCGTGGGAAAATTTTGTGATCATTTACGAAATGTAAAGTGGTCTTGTAAACAACTACAATCACCTTCTTAGAGAAGGAAGTCTACAGATTCCAAGAATGCAAAATATGGGAAAAAATACTGAACGGTAGGGAAAATACTAGACTTGTAAGGGATATGATTTTGCAAGGGGTATGAGCCACCGGTTGTCCACATCGTCCCTGGCGGCAAAAAGTGCGTGGGCCACCGGTGGTCCACATCGTCGTCAATGGGTTAAAGGCAGTAGATCGGCAGAATGAGACTCGTGACAAAACAAGGTCTCAGGGAGGTCCGATCTTTCTCTGCCACTTCTAACCCCCGAAATTTCAACGCGGAAGCAGCGCTCATCTCCTGTATTCTCTGGCCCCGCCCACCATGGGATGGGCGGGCCGGAGAATACAGGAGATGAGCGCTGCTTCCGCTTTGGAATTTCGGGGGTTAGAAGTGGGAGAAAGACCGGACTTTGGCCGATAGGTTCCATATGGAGGCTCCTACCCTGCGACCTTCTGTCGCGGGTCTCATTCTGCCGATCTACTGCCTTTGAGCAGCACTGGCAGCGTTGGTCAAGGTGATCAGCGCTGCAACAACTTTCGCAGCTGAGTTACGCCCACTTTTCCTGAGCGTATTCCAGCTGTTTAAGCTGCAAGCAGCTGTTTTTACTTGAATCTACCTATTTTTTTTACCATCTTCTACCCGCAACTAGCAATATCAAAACAAAGTTCGTCTTTCTCGCATGAGCAATTCATGAATGCGGTGTAAATCATCAAACTAGAGTTGTAAAGGCGGATATAAGGAAATAGCGAAAAAGAAGTCGAGAAGCCAAGTACATATTGGTAACAATTTCAGTACTGAAGAAGCTGACGGTGTAATGAGATGAAGTCTTGCCTCCAGTGGACTTGATCATGTCATTGCCTGAGGGGCACTCTCTTGCTGGGACCATTGCCGCGATAAGGGTGGAATGCAACTCAAACTGCTTCTCTCAAAAATGTTGGTAAATGGCTGCCTTTTATGCTTTGAATACGAAAAATTAAAAATAAGGAACTTTTTACGAAAGTAGACTATGGTTTTCAGATCCGACTCAGAACACTTGAGTTAATCCTTTCCATTTGACCTAACGAAACTTGACGATAGCGCAGTA